AGCGGAATGATTTCAAAGGATTTCGTCGTTAAATTAATATGCTTGAACAAAGAATTTTGTGCGGCCTGTTTCCAAAATTACTAGAAACATTACAGATCATTTATCTTCTTTGTTAGGATGTAGGATATATTACTGTGTTTTCAGAGCATAATTAATGGGCTTTAAGATTTATCTCTTTTGTGAATTGAATTAGAGGGCTAATGATTTTTAAAAGTGCTAAGCGCTGTAACTTCTTTTATCTTGGTTTCTCTGCTTTTTCGATTTTCTTAATAGGTGGTCAGCTAGCTACTTTCCTTTTTTAGATTATTCTTGCTTTCGCTTGGTTCGCTTACCGTCCTTTGGAGAATACTTACAAGTTCCCGAGCTGGGCTAGTTTGGCTGGATGGAGCATATCCTTGCTTCCAATTTCTCTTGTACCACTAACTGCTTGTATTAAGTTTTGCATGATCCGTGGAACGTTACCTCAAAGATGGCGAGAACTTTTATGTCCAGAGGATGACTGGGGCCCAGCCTTGGCTATTCATCGGGCTGAGTATTATCCGCTACAAATTCCTGAAGCGAGGCGACTTATTGCAGCTTCAGTTTCTGAAGGCAAAGTATGTTCGTTACTGAAGAAAATGATATTTTTTAGTTTCCTTCTTTTTTTATCATGACTGAATGTTTAAGGTTGCGGAAGCTCCTCACGCAAACGGTAAGAGTGGTGCGGAAAGAGATTCTAAAAGTAATATATCTCAGGTTTCTACTTCTCGCAGCAAGAATACTCCATTCTTACCTTCGTTCGACCGCGAAACTGCAATATAACCCTATGATCTGCTTGTTGATTCGTTTTCATTCTTTTCTTTTTCTCTTTTTTGATGAGTACATGGCTTTTTAACATTTCTATGATCATATTTTTGGTTTTTTCTTTGAAATATTTCCTCTTGCTCTTGCCGCAAGTTTGGAATCTCGATTTTTGCATATTTCATCACATGATCTGTCTGAAAATTTTTGTCAGATTTGTTCATTTACATAATCTTCCTTAGTTTAGGTATTGGTTTATGTGCCGTACACTTGTCGTTCTTAAAAACAGTTGTCAATGATCTAAAATCCTTGCTTTTCTATGATGATTCCTTGAAGTCTTTGCTGATAATTACCCTCTTTGTTCCCTTGATTATAGTTCTTGGTAAGGTATTGTTTGTTACGGGTGTATATACTGGATAAGGCCTGTTCTTGTAGCTGATATTGGTTTGTGAACCAGAAAACATTTAAGTCACGCATCCGGGTTTGTCATTGGAGTTCTTCTTTACCTAGATAATGCAGTCTCATTGAACCATTTCTGTTATTACTGCTCTCAGAAAGTACATATACTCTTTATTATACTGTTAGGTCCTAAAGGCTTTTTTTTTGCTTTATGAAGGTTTTGTCATTTGGGCTTTTTATTCTTTTTCCTGATTGAAACGCTTGGGGTATTACACTGTTCCCTTTCGTTGCCACTTCTTTTACTTTTGTGGGGTTTCTAATTGTTTAGTTTAGACAAGCGTCATCACGTTTTTAAGGCAGGGATCTAGTTTTTCTCCGCTGTGTTTTTACTTTTTAGGCGAAGTCATTCTGCTGTCCCTCAGAGAAATGTTACTGATTTCAGCACTTTTAGGACCTTAGTTGTTTGCAATAGAGAAGGTATGGTCCGGTGGTTATCAAGAGGGGATTTTGTTCTTGTTTTTCTTTTTCTTGTTTCTTTTACGCCCAACTCACTTGATTTGTTTAGTACAGATATTTGACATGCGTGACATTTTTTTTGTATATATTTCTTTTGAACGACGTGTATCGATGCCTTTGGCATAGACATGTGTTAGGGGTACTCCTTCAGTGTATAATCAGTGCTTTTTGAATGTTGTTGTTTACTTGAGGTTTTCACAGTTACAGTATTATAACATAACAGGTTTGTTGAACACAGTATTAATAGTTGTTTAAACTTGCTGCGTATTGCCAGATCTGTATATATGTTTGTTTGTTTGTTTGTTTGTTTGTTTGTTCGTTTGTTTGTTCATTAATTCATTCATTCATTTGTTTACTGCCATTTAAATTATGTTTCTGCTGCTGAATTGGAAATCGTTACTGCAACAGATAAAATTTTTGCTCATTTGTTCTTTTCAGCATGTGTTGTAGTGTTTCCAGCTGTTTGCTCTTTCGGTTTATCCTTTACTCTTTGAGATGAGTTTATCCCCTAGGATTATTTAGTTTTCCTGTGCTGCTTTTAGTGCTTAGACTTCTCCGTCGGTGAGTAACATGCAAAGATGTTATATAAAAGATGGATGAGAGGACGAGAAGGGAAGACTGCGGGAAACAGCAAATCATTTTTGCTGCCTTGGGCAAATTTTATTTTCCTCTTGCTTTAACACTGCTCGAGTGAGGATTTACAAAGGTGACGATGTGAACCTTAAAGTGCCAAATTACTCGTGAAACTTGGGTCATTGCATTTTGGAAGCAAATACAAATATTGGGAGGACTAATTTTGAGGCTTGTTGGCTAGAATAGGAGGTTTAGGTTGGTTTTGAAAAAGGAACAGTTTTTTTTTTAAATTCCATCTAGTCACAGGTCTTTCCAATGTCCTTGTTGTTGTCGTCATTATTCGTTAGTATTGCCAGTCTTGGTTGTCTGTTAAAACTTTATCGTTGAGGCTAGGGAATCCGATCGCATTAGACAATTGGCTTGCAGCATGGCTACGGACAAATTAGAAGCTTTAGCTAAAGAATGGCGATCTTTGTGGGAGGAGATGCAAGAGATGGAGGTACTGTAATTAAATTTAAAATGCGTTACTTTTTTCATAAAATTGCTTTTTGGTTGTAGTTAATATATGTTTAGGGAACTTGCTGCTCTGCCAGCCGTTGATGTATAGTGCTCTTCCATCGGTTTTTCATACGATGAATAGCATTAATCATATTTATTTTAGGCAAGTCATAATAAATACCTTGTGAAGCTAAATGAGTTGAACAAAATACAGGAAGAAAGGCAAAAAGTTGTAAAACATTTTCAGTATCGGCTGCGTCAAATCGAAGATGATCTTAAAGGGTAAGCTGCTTAGTATGATGAAAATGTATATTCTGTTCATTACTGCTGAGAGGTTGAGATTCAAGTCAGAAATTTGCAGGACAGAGTCCCATGTTAGCAACGACAGTGAGGAAACAAAAGGGACGTTGGCAACTATGAAAAAAGAAATCGTTGAAGTAAAGCAAAAACTCGGAGAAATGAAAGGCGAGTTGCCAATTCCGAAGAACGGGTAACTGCCATTTTGCTAGACGAGCTACCTAATCTGCAATTGGAGTCAATTAATCTCACAAGTGTACTTGAAGATACACACAGATTTTTAGCTGGTACTTGTCAACAATCTTGGGAAGTAATTTGAATCTTTCTCTGCTGAACAAAAATGACCGATACCGTTATAAAGAGGAATATGAAAAGTTCAAATTTTCAGTCACCTGTGCAGTCCTAATAATCTTCACTTTGGCTCTTTTCTTTCCATCGAGGTTCACCTTTCAGTAAATACTTCAAGTAACAGCAATCTGGACACTTGATGTCCTTTTTCTGTGAGTGCAATACAGACTCCAAACGCAAATGGGACAGAAAAAATGATTTTTTCATTTATAGATTAATGGATGCACTGTGCTTCTTTTTACTCGTTTGGTATTACTGTACTTTAACTATTCGGGAAGCTATTCTTAGTATCAATGGTTCGAGGTGAATGCAACTTCAAGGAATATCGTTCTTCAAGGAGTATTCTCAGTAAATATTTCCACTTCCTCTTAAGAACTTACCCTTAAAAGAAAAAGTTATAGAATCAAAGGTTGGTGGATTCTGCACCATTACTTTACTACGGTCCACTGTGGAATAACACTGACTTGGCATGACGGAGAATGCTACCAGAGATTCCGCACTCAATTGCTCATTTTTACCTTATACATTGCAGTCGTACAGGTAACAGTTTGATCTTAAAGCACACTGCTCGCATACTTTGAATCAATTTTAATTTGAGAACTCATGCAACAACCTTCATCTAACTTTTTGTCCAAGAGCTTTTCAAACCTCAGATGATAATTTTTTTCAAGCCTAGACTTAGGCACCGAAATCAGTTTCTTTATACCCCCGAAATAGATTACAAAAAACACGTTAAGGACTTGTGTTGCAGCTGTTCCAAAGTCAGTATCAAAAAGGATGTCTTCGTCGTTTGCGTGCCCTTGGGCAACGTCACAGCATGGATATTACTGTTGGTAAAATCATTTTCTTCTTCACAATCACGTGTTACGAAAAATATG